GCTGTCAAGAACTGAATGTCCAAAAAGGAGACAGAGGAGTCCTAAAACTTTGTTCGAATAAAGGGAGAGTCCACCGGGCATATCCCTGTGGGGACTCTCAAATTGCTGGAGGACGCAGCCCCCCTTTTATCCTAATTTCCCGACCGAGGGACGCCCTCTCCTTTTCCCCATTGGCCAAGGTACTCAGAAGTTACAGCCTTCCCGGCCTTCCTACACTGAACTCCTGCCTCCTGCCATCTGTTCTCACCTGAGCTCACCGACTCCTTTGTCCCCCTTGCAGAAGAATGTGGGAGAATTCCCCTATTTCCCTCCTTCGTAAAGGCCCCCATCTCCTTGCAGATGGCTCTTTTTGTCCCACTCACTCATGGCTCCCCTCAGTCTCCCCTCCCTTTGTCCCGCTCTTCAGCCAAACTGTGGAGATGAATTATTTATTATTGATGAATACATAAACTTGAGCATTCCGCTCACCTATTTGTCTCCCTTGGCACTGATGCACTCTGCTTTTTCATCGTATGGTGGGGAACAGCCAGAGTTGCTGTCAGGAGATGCCACTCCAGAGCACTTCTGTACATAAGAAATTATATGAGTGGAGGGTGTGAGGCTGGCAGAATCAATACGAGTAAAGTGAAATGACCACATGTGGTTATGAAGGTCTGGGCCAGTTTTATCATCAATGTATTTTCACTCAGAGCTATCCAAAGAGAGGTATTTTGCACTAATGGGAACTGGCTTTTACCACAATATAGCTTATTGCTGCTGTTATACTCACAATGATAACCTACAAGAGTTTAAATGCAGCTTCTTTGTAAACCTAGCAGCTTCATCCCCTTAGGGTCTACCCTGTGTGATACCAGAACAGAGGTATATTTGACCTCATTTTATGGCAATGGTGCTTCTTCAGTAACATTCCTTCCCTTCAAAGTGCTGTTTAAAAATAAATGACACTATGCTCAGCAGTTTTATTCTTTTTATTGTATTAACACTGTTATACCCCCAGGTAGGCACTAGGCAGAGCCCTGCTCACATGGAGCTTACACACTAGCTTTCAGAACTCAATTTGATTATAAACTCTCCTGTACATCTCAAATCTACATAGTGTCACATGAAACTAACTAACTCTGAGTTAGGTCTTGATTCTAGTACTTCATCAAGTCTGCAACTAGATTCAAGACCAGAATCAGGTCTATTTATAATTTGGGCTTGCTGAAGTTATTCCTGACTTCTCCTGCTGTAAGCACAAACAAAAGCACATGCTGAAGCCTGATCAGGCTGAAGCCTGATCAGTTTCATGTGTAACATGTTGGAGGTTTTTTTGTTTGTTTGTTTGTTTTTAAAGTAAAACTAAAAAAAAAATCCTTGAGCATAATGCAAAATATACATCATATTTCCATCATTATTTGCAGCTGTGCCAACTCAGAAGTGCAATAAACTTTCAGTTACAAAAACTGATTTAGCTATTTAAGTAAAACTACTTAAATAGAACTGCTAACCTTAAGTGGTTAGGTGATAGATACAAAACCTTACCCAGTGCTGTGCCTTCCATTTACTTGGGGAATAGTTTTGTTTCCAGGGAAGGGGGAAAGTCTTATTGTCTGGGACAAAATAAAATCCAGTGAAGACAAGTGAATTGAATCACTGCTGTCTACTTGATGAATTGTTAAATTCTCCAAAAATTTGCGTGTGGGATACAGACCTATATCTTCCACTAAAGGCAGAAGAGGGAAATCTGGTAGAATGCTGAATTTCCTTGTAAGAAGCACCAGAAGTGAAAGATGGTACCATCTGCTCCACTGTGACATTCCCTTTCTGGCCTGGAGTGCATGACCCTGGTTATACAGGAACTTCCCACACATATGGGTGTAGGGTTTTGCATTTTTCCTCTGCAAGAATTGAAGCAGACAATTTTTTATCTTTACTTTTAGCGCATTTGCCTTCTGGGTTCATAACTACAAATCAGGAGCTTATTTTTGAAATTTACACAATTGCTACATTTCTTTATTTTTTAAATAATTGTTTTGGCCACAGACTCAGCTGGTGGCAACAATCTTGTTAGACAATCAAGATCAGAATCCAGATTGTTTTTCAGAATGTTTAAAAAAAACTTCAAAAATTAGAACTTAGCATTTCATAGATATAAATCCAAAACACTCCACTGAATGCCATCCAGTGCAACTGAAAATGAATCTATCATTTACCAAAAAGGTGGTTGGCTCCTGATTGATTACTGATTAAAAAGACTTAATAAAACTCTTAAGCATGCTCAAGTCTTATTTTTGAAGAACGCTCCAGAAAATAATTTTAAAGGTGCCTCAGCATAATGAAGAACTAGCTTTGAGGAAGACAAGGCTTGAGGTTCTAAGTCAGTTAGGCACATTTATGTGTTTTGCTCCTCCAGTGAATCACCCCCTAGTCAGAAACAATCTTAAGTGTAGGTCAACCTACATAAAGACAACACACACTTGTCTCACAACAGATCATTACTGCCAGCCACGAGGAAGAAAGACACAAAAGGCCAATTATCTTGACTATTACCTGTCTTAACAGTAGGAGCCTTCCCCAGACTGAGCTTGCATTACAAGGGAGGCAGTGTAATAAACAGCACGAGGAATTTGTGTTGTTAGTAACCAACACAAAGCCACCCAAGTGTGCATTTAACAGGGCTCCATCCAGAGCAATACAGTAATTTACTGTTTAAGATGTAAGTTAACTTCTTCTAGACATGGAACCACACATAACAGGCAAGTTGGTCACACTGAGCCTTGTTCTCCTGGAGGCCTCTGAGATGCTAAAGGAAGAAGTGCAGGACACCATTTCCAGAGCTTAGAGCTTCACTCTCCTCAGGCTTAACAGCAGCTTACTTCTTTGGTTCAGCATCCCCTCTAGTTCACTTACTTATGCTTGCAAAAATTTTCCATTACAGAATCAAAGACAAAATCTTGACTCTTTTCCCTATTTATGCCAAAAGCTAATCTGGTGTCAGAGGGACTGCTAGTTTAAAGCCCAGTGTAACAGTATTGCTAGTGCTCCTCAAGTCGAAATACAAAAACCAGTCATAACAGTGAAGAGACCATGTTGAAAGTGGTTGTGAAATTCATATTTTCTTCTCATAAAGACAGTATACAGAAGGCAGTTATATATATTTATCATTTGACAATATTTTCCCAAAACAATATACTTGTAATTTAATTGTGACCTTAGTGCAAGGAATATGTGATCCTTTGGAGTGATATGCGCATCCAGTTGTCATGTAACACATGGTTAGACATCTTGATGTGCAGTTTCCATTTTATAGTTTATAGATTAGTTAAGACAAAGGTTTGTTGGTGCAAATAATTTCTCTAAAACAATAAGTATGGAGCTAGTCAATGATATATTGAATTTTCTTCTCCCAGGCTGGAAACAGTATTCACTGCACATTCATCATCAAGTTAAAAGAAAATCTTCTTTACACATATGGTACTTGTCAACTGAATTATGAACTGATGCTGTCCCACAATAATCTGAAATAAATTGCTTTGTTTCAATCTGCAGTGGATCAGGAGAAGGGTTGCTGGCACAATATGTTACTGTAAGTTCTGGACCTGCCAGTTCTAAGGGCTACGTTTGTATGAAAGGCAAAAATATACAAGAAAAGAAGCTATAAATCCTTTGTGGAAAAAAAAAAAAACTGTCCTGCAGTTACTCTTACAATAAAGTAGAATTTGTAAAATATTTTCATCTATAAAAAAGACACTTTCATTAAAAATGTTTAAATGGTATTAAACTTTAAGGCACTCCAGCTGAAGAACTGATTGGATCACAACTACTCTTAGTGGCTCAGATGTCCTCTCTGTATCCCCATCCTTGTATCTTCAGTCCTTGTCCTTTGTGAGTTCTGTAATTTCATCCATATCTTCTATATCCTGGGTCATTTTTTGTACTGTCTCTTGAAGAAGCCAAGCTGTAAGATTTAAAATAACATATTGTGTCACATTAAAACTAGCTAAACATTAGTATAATTGCTAAAATAGGATATTTAACAAGAGCCATTTATTTAGTCATTTACAGCTACGTTTCTCAATTGAGCTAATGGTATAGTGGTAGAAAATGAAAATATGAATGTATGTACTCACATGCAGTGTTTAATTTGTTGCACTTAACTGTAAAGTGAAAAGAGCTGGGATGTAAACTGCCTGGCATAACCAAGCACCACGACAGAAGTTGCCTCTCTGCCAAAATGCAGGAGCCTGAAGACCTCTCCAGGCTGTCTGGGCATGCCAAGTTGCTGTTTAAACACCAGTGCCTGGGCACACAGACACATTTTTCCCTGCCCTTAAACTAGCTATTCTTTGTACATCACATATAGCCCTATAGGCTTTCTCTGTTCTCTGCATATCCCCTCTCCTTGGTCTCCCCCAGTTGATTCCTACTCCCCAGCCTTTCCCACCAGGAGTATTGTGGGAGCATCCAGAGTCCAGCCAGGGAGTTGCTGATGTCAGAAATGCCACTGCCCTTGTTTTTAGCCATTGGCAAGTCATTTAACACCTTCACATGCCAATATCTATGGCCCCTTAGTAGCTTTTCTCTCCAAATTTTTAAAAGCACATATACATGCTAGCTCCAGCATGCAGTACCAGTGCAGTATTATTCTTACCACCAAACTGCATGCGCAGTTTTGTTCAGCACTGGAGGAAGATTCCAAAGAAGACAGCCCAAGTGCATGTATGAAGAAACACTATTTTCTGCTTTTCTTTGCAGGAATATGAACACCTACTTACTTTCCATAAAACCGCAATCAATGCTAACAGCAAGAAGAGTCCAGCCAATATACTGCCAATCACACCACCAACTGGTATCTCAGCCTTCTCATCAGGCTTCATTATTGTAACTGGGATCTGAAAGCAAACAGATTTGCGTGTTATAGGTTAACATTAACAGTGTTTAAAGGTTTTTCTTTGTAAAGAAAATTCTTATCAAGAATAGCTAGGCTGTATGTATTCCAGGAAAAGAGAGACTTTGACACACCAGGCAGTTGCAGCCCTTACACTAGCGTCCCCTGGTACCAGTTTGTGCCTCTGTGGCACACAGGAATCTCTTTTAAGGACTAGGGTCCCTCATCACTGCTGACCGTACCCAGGTAGAGAAGGAGTAACTTCCAATCAGTCTTCTGTTTCTTCAGTCAAAGGAATTCTTTTGGTGTTGTCGCCATACTGCATAGACACACTGTCACTGGAAAAACTGGATATGTTTCAACACACACTGGCAACAGGATCATGCAGATCCACCATCTGCTCAAAACAGGTTTCCACTACATCAGTTAGAGAAGAACCGTGTCAACTGGCTGCTGGTGGAGTCTGCCATGTTTGGTGGCCAGCTGTGATAAGGCAACCTAATTACAGAGTCCATACACTGCTGTGCACTGACGGTGGCTGCTGACATTTCTGCCTTTCTGATGGCAGCTCCTCTGTCTCTTTTGCCTGCTCTTCTGACCTCCTTGGAAAGGCACTAGCAACTTGTAAGGTTCTCCCTGTCCTTCACGTTAATGTGTTTTCCCCTGAGACAACTGCATGAATTTGCAGCAAGATGTATGGGTTCAGAGAAGTATTTCTAACAAACACACCTATGCTTCCTGCTGGTCAGAAGAAATACAGTCAATACCAGAGAGCTCCCATAACAGTATATACAGTGCTTGGATATTAGTTTTCAGGTGTTACCCTATCTCATTGCATTGGGTATGACCAACTATACAATTACATGTAGCATAGCTGCTCAAGGAGATATTTGCCTAATATTTATGAACTGACAAATCTTTGGATTTAATCATGGAATAATATTCATTCAGCATGAAGATTTTTTTTCCTTCCTGAAACATGATAAAAGGAGTCATGTCGGTTTACTTTGTCAGGGTTGCTTGCTTGGTGCATTTGTCTGGTGTAATTTAATCTCAAGCTTTCTGAGAAACTTGCACTGAACTGACATCTCAGTGATTTAAGTTGTTTCTGCTGGAAGGCTCTCATGTTGTGCTAGGTGTGGCCATGTGTATTCATTTCACAGAGGCAGGTTTTTTGTATTTTCTAATAAAATGGCCATGATGATTTTAGCAGGTTAACATAGTGTCCTCCAGCTGGCAGTGCTTTCTAACTTGGGAAAAAATCTGAAAGCTCTTACGCAAAAATATCTAAGCAGCTTCTCCACATAGATGATATCAGTTCATTTGGCTACACTGCAACCCAGCTCATCCAAATTAGAAGAACCAATTTCATGTGTGTGTGCAGCTTGTCTAGTGTGTAGACTTCATCAAAATACATTTTGTTGCTTAGGAGCTCTGCAGACATCTTTCGGGGTCTGCTGTCTCAGAGCTGTAGATGTCCCAGCTGCAGAAGGCCGATTGAAGAATTACTTTTTACTTGTTAACTGGCAATTTTATCAGTCATTTGAAAGGTTCAGTTCTGGTTCTCCTGAAATCCCAACAAAATTGATAGTACTGTAAAATTTGGCGCTACCATGGTACAGCTGTGGAATATTGTCCAGTAATAGATGGTAAGGCCTGTAAAATTACTCAGAATATTTCAATGGAGTATAAAGAAGTTCTATCTCCTAGTAGAAATAATGTCATGAAGCTCAGGGCCCTGAGCACGCTTCCAAATACTGCCATTCTGTTATTCTGCAAAATCATGGCATTATTTTCAGAACTTCAAATATATTCCCTTTAAGTCCTCAGGAATTGGAGATTTCCCTGAATACAAATGGGCTATTTAGAGATTCTTTACAGAAACTGAGTGATACATGAGAAAATAATAATAAAAATAGTACTGAATTACAGCCTTATTTCTATTTTGAGATACGTCCATCAGTAATTTTCCTGGTACACATTTCCATTACCTATGACAGGGCTATACTACCTTTCCCCCCTCCTGACACTTGACTGCCTTGCTAAGTTGCACTTTGATCTTCAAAGTTCTTGATGATAATTCTATTATCTAAACTCATTATTGCAAAGTGTTACCCTGTAGATACATGAAGAGAACAAGGATTTTTTTTTAATAGCAGATAATTATTTTTCAGTGCTGCTTAATTTGTATTTTAGTGGATGGAATGCTTGGGAGAAGGATTCCAAACTATGAGTGGTGTTTTACTGACTTTTCCTGAGATTACCTGTCCCATATGGTCCACCAACCATACTGTCCGCATTACTGCCATTCTGTATTCAGAAATACTCCACAATGTTTTACAAATGAGATTAAGTACATTTGCTGGAGAGCTGGGCCAAATATCTGTTTACAACTATCAAAACAAATACACTTCCACAAGTAGAACTATAAATCAGATTTGCTAAAATCTGATTTTGAGAACAGGAAGCTAAAGTGAGGTTCAGAAGATTTTAATTGAGTTTTATTCATAGTAATACAATCTGTTTGAGATCTGCAGATTAAAATTCATCTGATTGCTGTTGTATATACAAAACATAGATAAAAACATTTTGCTTTCTTAAAGGGGATGTATATAGCTAAAGGACACTTTAGTTTAATATATTCAAATATTATATCAGTGCATAGTTTTCTATATACTTTTCAGATACATTAAACATCATCATTTTAATGCACTAAAAGATAGAGAAGTTAAATATCTATTTATCCATCACTTACAGTTAGGCTGTTCTCTCCAATTACAAATAATGTAGGGTTATGCGTATCAATTTCTGCCTCTGCTGAGAGTTGTAGTGTCTGGAAAGTTGACTGAAAAAGAAGTTAAAAAGAAAGAAAAACACACCTGTAAAGCTCTATATCAAAGGGCAAATCAACCAGAATATAGATATCCCCAAAATTGAAATGAATGAAATGAAGCCTTCAGAACTAGAAAAAAAACCCTGCAGCACTGAGAATATTAAAATCATCTTTGTTTTTCTTGAGCTAATTTTTCTATAAAAGCAAAAATATATCAGTAAGAATTTCGCTATTTTTATTTATTAGCAATGAAACTTATGAACTGTCTCTGCTTATTTATCATATAGTCCAAGCAAAACAGAATAATTTGATGATTATATGCATTTTTATAGCTATTTCAAAGCTTTCGATGCTGTTAACTTTGAAAAGATGGGGGGAGAGAAGCCTGGTGAGAAAGGCAGGAACAGTTTGGCCTTTGAAGGAAGTGGGATCTGGATCTTCTTTCCCTTCTTTCCTCCCTTCCCCCCTCACTTCTTTGCAATGCTACTCCGTTTTTCCCCATTTAGTTTTCCTATCACTATCAGTTCATCTCCACTGCTCAAATTCTGACATCACTCTCTCAACTTAAAGAAAAATTAGGAAAAACCCCTGAGGCAGCTCCCACTGAGAGGGGCCTGCATGCCAGATCTCCTTCCTCTGCAGCCCTGCCCCAGGCAGCCACCACAGCTGAGCTGGCCCTGCCTGTGCAGCCTCGTGCTGCTCCATGAGACATTCCCATGCACTGCAGCCATGGGGGAGATGGCCCTTTCCCAGGACACTGCAGGAAACATCTTGATGTTCCTGGGCAAGCGTGAGCAGTGCTGCCAGCAGCACAAAGAGCAGCAGGGAAGCTGTCCCAGAGGCAGCAAACGCTCTGTCCTTCTGCCTCCTGCATCATCATTGTGAGTGTCCCTGCTCATGCAGGGCTGTTGGACTAGGCGATCTCCGGAGGTCCCTTCCAGCCTCGGCTATTCTGTGACTCTGTGGTCTCTTTGCAGCTGCTTCTAACAAACCTACAACAACGGCAGGACAAGGCACAGGTCCCTTGAGCCAGGGCACACGAGCTGCCTTAGTCCAGAGCAGCCCACACGCTGCACCGGCCACGCAGACCATGCACACCTGTACACCTGCACTGGGGCAGGCTCTCCACGTACTCTCTCCTGGCTGCTGGAGACTCACCTGATCACTATTCCAAATACTTTATTATTTCCTAAACACCTCTTCCTTAGCTTTGTTTTGCAAGTATCAGCATGCCTGCTCTTCTCCTCTTGGACAAAGACTGATTGCCATTAAGTAAAGCAGCTAATTATCTGCAAGGTTGGGTGCCTGCAACGTTGTTTGCACTAAACATTGACAATTAAATAGAAACTAAGAAAATGGGAGTGTTGCAGTTCAAATCTGCACTATCTGCAACATGGGAGGTAAGAGGAAAACTGACATGCAATCTTCACACCTCCCAGCAGTAAACAAATTATTTCTGTAGGACCCTGTGCAAAGAGGGGCCATGTAAGAGGTTAATAAGGTTGAGGTGACTAGGTACCTAATTTTGCTATCTGCTTCTGTGAACATAGCTTGCTACTTATGCTGAGTCACC